TTTCAAACCGCCCTTCATGCAATCAGGATTTTCAGGGCAGTTTACAAAATAGTAATTAAACAACCATCAATGAAAGCTATTTAAACAAGAAAAAAACAAAACAAAAACTATGGGAATTTGAAAATCAATATGCAATATAAAAACAGCAGCAGTTAATAAGTGCATTAAGACCTTGAGCAATCAATTTACAAGTAATTACAAGCTATTAAAACAACAGCATTAAGTATCATTAAAATAGCAGCAGATATAACCATTATTAAAACGTAGTGTCATAAAATTACCCAAAAGTAGGCTAAAATGGGAAGGTTTGGAACTTTTCTAAAAACCACCACAGAGAAGGACCTGTTCTTGGTATTCAGCTAAAGACTTGCTGGTAGGCCAGAGAAACAAGGCATACAATACAGGGCTTAGCAACAAGTAGAGATTCTTTTCTATTTATTAAATGAAGAAATATTTTGACAGAACTTTGGCTTTGAGACATCCTGTATTGCTCTTGAATATGATTTTGGTATTGCATACATTATGTAAAAACTGTATTTAAAGAAACGGACACTTGGTGGAATATAAATGTCTTATTTTTATATTTGGCCTTTGGAAAGTTTTATATAATTGCATTCACAGTTCTGTGAGCTGGGAATCTCAGTTAAAGCATACATGATGGCCATCCAACCTCTGCCTGCACTCACTGCCAAACAATGACTTTTCTTCTTAGTTTATCCCTCTCATTTCTATTGCTGTTCTCCTCCCTGTACTATACCAGTATCTTCTAGCCACAGTTGTTTACCACTGTCCCTGTCAGTACTTGACAGCACCACCTCTGCTACCAAAGTAAGAAAATGACCACCAGGCAGACATTTCCCTGCATGTATGACTAAATCACAAAGTTTGGGCCTTTGAACAGATTTCTGAAGGGCTGCTCTAGCCAACATTTTCTGTGCCCAGCCTGTGCATATACAGGAATGCCAGCCATGTTTTTTTCCTCTGCAGTCTTAAGAGATGGTAGCACAGTTGTGGTGGGAGGAAGATGTGAGGGACTTTTGGGGCTGCAAACATTTTATAATTAAAGAAAATTTCAGTATATATGATCAGAAAGATGTACACATTTCCCTAATTCCTTAAACTATTTAACAGTCAGCAAAGTTATGAAACGAGAGAGATAAACTAAAATATGTCACAATGAAATTAAAGTAATGGAACACTTTTTGAAAGAAAAAAGGGAGCGAGAGAGGGAGAATGAAACCATGATTAATTAAGAGATAAATGGGGCCTGAAAGTAAAAAGAGAATGAGGAAAAAGAAGAGAAGAGGTATGTCATTAGTTTAATTATAAAAATTCATTATATGAAGTCATGTAAGACAGAAAATAATGGGACTCTAATAGGCTGACTGATAAAACACTCATTGCATCACTTTGGTTTCCATCTCTGTGAAAAGAAATGGAAGTGATGACTGAGGGCTGCACCTCTTCAAAGTTACTGAAAAGATTAATTGTTTTCTGAGAGAGAGAACAAGAGAGAGAGCTACATTCTGTGGGGTTTTTTAAAAAAAAAATTCTAACTGATACTGGTGTTTAGTAATGTCAGGATTTTAATAGATATAAGTATTGAAGTTAATGGTGAGAAGCAACACTTTTTAAATAGTCCTGTAATGCGTTTGTCAGGCGGCCTATTAAATAGTATTCTTCAGACAGGATTACAAGGTCATTAAAATTCAAGCAGCACTGGGAAAAGTACACATTTCCTGAGTGAAACTTTATAGGCCATTACTTTATTGTGTTTTACCAATAAAACAAATAGCATGTGTTGATCCTGTTGCATTAGCTCGCTTCTTTTAAACAAAGATGTTGGTTGAAAAATAAAACATGTAGAAAGCCGTATGAGTGAATGACAAGTACTGTGTCATTCTGTTAGGAGGACTGTGGACACTTTACATTTCTTTCAGTATCCATTTTTGCATACTGGCAGTAATCAAACTTCCAAGGATTGGCATGGCCATAAGTCAGACTGAATCAGACTCCATTTATTCATTCATTCATTCTGCCCTTTACCCTAAGGTGGCATGCACATTTCAACATCAGGCAGCCTAATAAAATACAAGCAATTGACACAAAATTAAATAACTAAGCATCTAAAACCAGTATGAACAATCACTGCCACAATGATATTTTTTAAAAAATCTATAAGCTTAATGATTGTAAGAACCATGAACCTTGGTAAGTTGGTTGTGGTCAAAAATGAGATGGCAAGAATAAATATTGACATCCTGGGCATCAGTGAACTAAAATGGATGGGAATGAGCAAATTCAGTTTGGATGACCATCATATCTACTACTGTGGGCAAGAATTCCCATAAAAGAAATGGAGTGGCCCTCATAGTCAACAAAAGAGTGGCGAAAGCTGTACTGGGATGCAATCTCAAAAATGATAGAATGATCTCGATACAATAGACCTTTTAACATTACAGTAATCCAAGTTTATGCACCAACTACTGGTGCTGAAGAAACTGAAATTGACCAATTCTATGAAGACTTACAACACCTTCTAGAAATGACACCAAAGAAGGACGTTCTTCTCATTATAGGGGATTGGAATGCTAAAGTAGGGAGTCAAGAGATAAAAGGAACAACTGGCAAGTTTGGCCTTGGAGTTCAAAACGAAGCAGGGCAAAGGCTAATAGAGTTCTGTCAAGAGAACAAGCTGGTCATCACAAACACTCTTTTCCAACAACACAAGAATGAATGGGCAACATGAAGAGCAGCATTTTAAAGCAGTTCCTACTATGCTTAAGTTAAATATTGTTGTGGAGAAACATAATTTGAGTATTGGGGACACAGAAGCAGCCTGCAAGAGCACTCAAGATTGCAGTGGTTCTTTCATACTATCAGGACAGTCACTGCTGCTCATGTATACAAAAAACATGGTGTGAACCGCCCATCAATTATGCATCTTTTCTATTATACAGATATTCCTCAACCCTTGCTTGTTTGTAAGGGGAGCTTCATGGGCTGTAATGAAAATACATTTTAAGTTGGAGGAGGTTGCTGACCCACATTGCTCTAATGTTTATCTGTACCTTTGGAACTTTTTCCCCCCAGAAATACACAACAAAAACATTGCAGTAATTATATTCAGGCTGTTCATTTATCTACCTGATGTTCAGTCTGCTTTGTGTCACAGATAAATATTCAAAGAATTGCTTCATTCTCATTAATTAATTCAATGCTGTTAGTCAAGTCAAAAGCAGTTCTTTAGTGCAAAGATAAGTAAGAGAAAAGAAAACTGATTTTCACAAAGGGGAGCAAACACATATTATTCAAAGAATTTTGGTACAAGAATTATAGTATTACTTTTTCTATTATGGCTTTTACTTTGCACAACTACAGTATTTACTCAAGACTTTTAACACATTGGAACTGAGGACAAATGTTTCCTAATGTTCTCCAACAGACCAGGACAGTGAGGTTTCATAGCAATATTATTTAAACCTACATAACAATAAACTGCTGGTCATGGCTGTCAAGTGATATATATTCATAACATAATTTTATTTAAGTTTAAGTGCCCCCCTTCCATGATTTTGTGTGAATGTGGCATAAACCTTGTCAAAGCATTCAAATTCAAAACAGTTTTGGGGTCGTTTTTCTTAAAAGCTTTCTTTATGCTCTTGGGAGAAAGTAGCAAAGAACTGATATTCCAATAATTATTTTTTTTATCAGTACTATATTATCCCTGTATATGCATGTTCAGTACTATTCCAGTAGGTGGCACTCATTACATAACCTAATGGATAAAACAATAAATGAAATTTTGAAATATATTTATTAATTTTTGTACTCATCATTGTCCTTATTTCCCTATATGCCCTATATGGATCACTAGCACATGTATAAATATAGAATGCTAAATATTTAAATCACCCATTTATTTTTAGGAGAGAAAAAACCATATAGCAGACAATATATATACTGTTATGTATATATTTACACCACAGACTTAATACCAAACTTCATCTTATATAGTCATATACTGCCACACCTGGGTGAGAAAACAGGGCAGAAGGAATTGCGACTGGAGAAACAACTGGCGGGGAATGAGTAAATCTGCCCCTTCCTTCCTTCCTTCCTTCCTTCCTTCCTTCCTTCCTTCCTTCTCACCCCATCCTCAGCTCAAGATTGCTGTGAGTGCTTTTCCCCAGGGGGGAAAAATGGGGAAAAAAACCATTTCAGAACTACATGTAATGTGTAGCTTGGTTCTCAAACTGGTTGAAAGGTCATTTGTGTTCCTCAGGAAACCGGAGAACTGTAGTTCTGTGACAAGAATGTGGGTTTCATTTTGTAACATAAAATTGTTGGCACCACCAGACTGCAGTTTCCAGAATTATTCTGGGGAAACCATGAATGACAATTAAAATACAGCCTGGCATACTCGTACCTTGCATTTTCTTGAACAGTTCTGTTACACTTTTGTTACTAGATTTATAATCTTCCATCTCATAACAAAACAATTCTAGATACCCTAAGACCAGATTTTACCTAAAGAGTTTTAAAGTTACAATTGAATGAATGGATCTCCCCCAATCCTAAGGACTTCTAATTCATAGATATAAAAATAGATATAGAAATACTGTAGATAGAGATATAGGGCCTATTCACATTATCCTGACACAACCCCTACACTAATACAAGACAATAGAATGAAAGAACAACACCCCAATCTCTCTCCCTCTCTGTCTCTCCCCCCTCTCTTTCCCCTCAGTTGTACTTCTCTCTGCTTATTTGTCTGTTTCATAGCACAAAAAATCTTAATTAAAACTTTTTTTAAAAAAAAAAACACTGCATGGAACAGCATGTTTTATTGAAGTGAATTAGGGATATTATTTACCCAGAAACTTCATGTATCTAACTAGCAAATATGTTTTATGTATTACCTGAACTTGGAAAGGTTCTAAATGTTCCTCAACGATGTGTAATATGTTTTATGTGCATTTCTGCTCTTCTTCCAGCAATTTGCAAAGGAGCTACGGCAGTGGCATATAAATGTGGATGTGGCAAATGATTTGGCACTTAAACTTCTCCGTGATTATTCAACTGATGACACCAGAAAAGTAGAACTGATGACTAATAACATTAATGATGCTTGGGCCACCATTAATAAGAGGTAGGACACAACTTCTAGTATCATTCTTGTAAAACAAAACTAAGTAGTTGGATATTTTTCTTAAGAAACTATTAATATTAAAGTATTAAGAAATACTTAACAGGTAAGGAGGAAACAGTTCTCAATTTATTGCTGTTATTTTCAACTGTTTCCAATTATGTGACTTGGGAGGGTCTTTTTCAGGGGGTAGATTGTCAAGAAGGTGTTTTTATCAGCTGTTTTGCTTATTGTTGTTGTTTAAGTATATGGTTAATCATTTTCTGTGAGTTTTTGAGTTCCTGTGTGTGTTTGAGTTTCTGCCTAATCTTTTATATTGTTGTATATATTTGTAACTCAAACCTGTCTGCCAGATTTCCTGCTTTCTATCATTATGCTTGCTAGGAAGCCCCATCTAGAGCAATTATATTATTTGTGCTACACTGTTCAGTTATTATCAGTGCTATATACTAAGTATGGAAATGACACTCTTGTTCTGTTGAAGTGTGGTTCATGTAAGGTTAGAAGATGAAGCTCTATCAGGTCCCCATATGAAAAAAATCTATAAGTAATAATTCTTCCTAGATTAGGTTCTTGATTAAAGCTTTCTTTGTTCTTTTTTGTAGTCTCTCATCATTTATTTCGATACCTGTTCAATTCTGAAAGCTATTTTAGAGCCTTCCTCTAAACCATGAATCACCCATTATAAAATCTATATGAAAATTCATAGAATAAAATTAGTTTTATTAATGCAATAAAATTCAGATTCATTGTTTCATATTGTTGTACACTCAATGAGATGCATAAAAATTAAGTTTGGTTCACTTAGATTGGTTTAGTATCTAACATTAGACTTTATATCTAACATTAGGCTTTATAGCTTATAATCAAATCCAAAAATGAATGTGGTTTTAAATTGTGTTTAATTACAGTTTATGAATAAGGTCAGAAGAGTGCACAGTGTAAAATGTAAAATATAATCAGAGAGTTTCTTGGCATAGGGAGGATTATTTAAATCAGCTGTTATTACCAAAAGTGTTCCTTTCTTTTCTGTACTAAAATTACGGATAATCATTAGGCTAAACCTTGTGTCTTATATGTCTGGGTTAAACTGTTGTACACTTTGAGGAACTTGAGCACAAAAGTAAAAATAAATGAAGGATAGAATTTGCCATCTTCCTTAGAAGTAAAAAGCATATGTCTTTTCCTGGCTTTATTTCCAGTTATTATCTTCCTGGACCCAAGCATGTCCCTTCCCTAGGCCATCTCTGTTTTGAAAAGTTGGAGGATTGACTGGCATCCTTCAGCCTCTCTATTTCTCTTTAAGTTCTGTATGTTTCTGACTGTCTGATTCGTACTTACAGCCAGACATGGCAGTAAGGCAGGTATGCATATTAATTATAAATAAATGGCACATGATCTTTAGATAGTATTCCTTCTTCCAAAGTACCAGTGTAAGTTCACTTAAGAATTCTGGAAACCAGTAGCTAAAGAGCTCTGGAAATTGTAATCCTTGAGAAAGCAAATCATATTAGGTGACACACTTCTCTCCATTTGCTGTCTCTCCCCCCGCCCCGCTCCCCAGCACTGCTTCTGATTGGCAAATATCTGAAGATTTTACAAGATAGGTATACTAATGGGCAGGATTCAACTACGTTGTTATCTGTGCAGAATGAGGTTCACTTATGCAATGCAACTTTTCCTTTTTCTCCTTCCCCTATGCCCTGTTAATTTGCTTGGTGGGGAGGACCCAGAACAGGTTTGAAATGAGTGGGGACATGCATGGGGAGGAGCCTTATAGTAGTCCTGTACAGTGTATTTTTAACCCCCACAGGTTGCTTCTTTCTTCTGAGCTACAAACACGACTAGAGGGGATGGGTGCTTGGTGTGTAATGTACCAGTCTCCCTCTCCAAATATTGAAACATTCCAACAACATTTGTAACATTGCTTATTATAAGTATAGCTTACGATGCTCAGATAGGTTATTAGATCACGTTGAACAATAAGAGGATTATTCTACCCTATACTACTTTCCAATGAATTTGCTAAACCAAATACAAGATTTAATTTTTCAGATGGTTACCTTATATGTACTGTATAGTGTCTTCCAGCTTTTGAAATAGCTTTAGTTCATCAGTTGGTTCAGGTTATGTGAAAAATAACGTTGGGTCATAATTGAAATTATTGTCCACATGTCCGGCATTAGTGAGCATGTCATTTCCTAAAACTGAGACTAGCTACTTATTACTGATCAATCTGCATTTAGATGCACCAGCTGCTCCTTCTGCTGCAAAGAGGGTAGGAAATGTGCATAGGAGAAATAAGCAAGTGGGAAAAGGGAAACTTAATTCTACCTTTGGATACAACTTTCCCCCTGCTGTTTTCTGCCCTTGCTGGGGCCCCAGACTTGTGTTTTTCACCAGAAACATGGCCAGAAGCCTCCATTTGGGCCATAAGAGCTATTGGCTAGTTGTAGAGGAATAGCAATGGGTAAGGGAAGGGTTAAACACACACCCTCTGCTTTCCCCCTGTAATGCAGCCCCTCCTAATGCAGCTTTGCAGCTGAGAGTTTAGAAATGTGAGCTGGACATGAATGTGTCATTCCATGTTCAACTTCAGTTGTTATATTTACTAGTTAGTGGTAGCAGTGAACAATTCCATGGACAATTCTTTCAGCTATTTCATGAGGTCATTCTAAGCTTCATCAGCTGCTACAGTGATTTCATAGGAATTTTGTCTTTCAGCTTGAATTGTACTCAGCAGCCATTTCTTATTGCTTCTATATACTACAACAAGGGCAAGCTGTCCCTTTTTGAAGTGATCTGAATATAGTTTTTAAACAAACAAACAAACAAATAAATCCTCAACCACTCTTCATCATTCCAGAAATTTAAATTTCTTCACTTGATCAGGCTGTTTGTTAACTATATCTAATAGTACGTCAGGTTTTAACAAATCCTGTTGAGATCTCAAATTGTGCTCTGTAAACAAAATTCCCTTTTGTGGTTGATATACGTATGCCAACTGAAGCCTGCTGATTTAACTGATTGAAATCCTGGCTGCCCTTTCGCAGCTTTCAATGTACATCTCATGGTGTGAATAAAGCATTTACGCCAGAAAATTTGTGGTTGGATAGATGTGGTACAGAAGTCACAAGCTTGATATTGGTTTTGTTGGAAATGTCCTAATCTGTAGATACAAACTGTGTAGAGTTGTTACTTGTAAAGCACATCTGGTTACTCAGAAAGACCTTGAAGAACTTGCATGGTGATTCCAGAAGTTGAGAATCGCCTGCAGAGCATCACTAATAATTTGGAAATGAGAATTCAACCTGAGTTTCATGGAAACAGATTTGGCTTGGATGTAGAGGGAATCTCCCCACTTACATCCACATGTAGACTCCAGCTGCCCAGCCCCAACCAATATCAGGGCAGCCATCTTCAAAGGCAGACCTATATAGAACTTGCTGCAATGCTCTAGTCTGGATGTCCCTTACACATTCCAGTGAAACAAGTTCTGTTTTCTCCAGATAGGAGTGTAACTGGTGAACCAGCTGAAGTTGGAAAAAAGTACTTCTGAGCACTGCCACAACTGGGGCTACTCATTTATCTTTGAGAGCATGAGCATTTCCAAGTTGCAAATGTAGTCCTTCAGGGGAACATAACTCCATTCAGGGCCGTTTGTAGTCTCCATCTTTCCCTGCCAACTGCACCTCTGTCTTGTTTGGATTAAGTCTAGCTTATTCTCCCTCATCTAGCCACAAGCTGTCTCAAGGCACCAGTTAAGATCTCACATTGGTCCCAAAGTCTGGAGGAGCTTTGTTGGACTGGTTATAGATAGGGAAAAGACCTGGAGGCAGCAAAAATGGGGTTGGTTATAGATGCTATATACAGTGAGAAATAGGAACGTAGGGTGGAGGAGAAGGAAACGTGAATTGCATATGAGGGGAATTCTGCCACTTGTGACTTTTGCTGTCACTTCAACATTGTGTTTTCTCAAATCTAGGGGAGTAATGGGACCATGAAGCAGTAAAATATGTGGGGAATGCAGCTTGCATTCCCACCCCCCATATTTATTAGAAATCATTAGCAAATTCCTCAGTGTCTTACTTCCAGTATGTTTTATATTAACTTATGCCAAGCTTGCAGCCATAATGTGTCAGTAAGGTGTGCCGCGCTTGACAAACCCATCAGTTGAACAAACAAGGAGCCACCCAAAACCAGAAAATATTATACTTTGCCTGCAGCTGATAGTTCAGCCAAAAGTGTTTCGGTCAGACTGAGAACATCTGCCAGCTTGTATTTTGTTTAGCTTAGCTAGATCTGCAATTGATTGTTATGTATTTACCCCTTGCCCCACCATTTTGTTTTATAACACTGAACCATAATGAAAACGACATTCTAACTCCTGTAATTGCCAAGTTTGTTAGTGTTTGATGGGTGCTTCCCTTTTTGCTCATTTTTGTAGTAGCTAGAAAGATGCACTAGAGGCACATACTCTAATTACTTGGGCAAAAGCCAGGATTACTTGTAAACATGTGTCTTCATCTTCTTTTTTGAAGCATTTACTATCACCAAAATAACTGTATTTTGTGTTAAACACAGGTAGCAGGGGATTATGTGGTCTGTGCTGCTTGAATTAGTAACAGCATATCAACCAGCTGGACTAAGAGGAGGGAAAAGACTAGAAGGAAGGGAACAACAGGCAGCATATCCTGGATGTAAAATTATTACTGCAGGATTGTGTAGTTTTCTACTCCCTTGGCCTCTTTCTCGTTTTAAGCACTAATTCTTTCTACTGCTACATTCTTGTTTAAGAATTAGTATGATACAGAAAGCAAAAACATGTGTATCTTAAGCCAGGCTTTTCAATATATACTTAAAGGCTACTGGCCCCTACAACATTTTATTGTATCTTACATCTGTTAGCTTTTAAAACAAGTAATACATGTGGAGGCTTGTGAAAAGTCATCAGAATATTCGTCATAAATGCAGGCTGCTTGCTTCTTTGCACCCATTCCCAT